TGTCCGTTCATTCCTTACCCACACCATTCCTTAGGTAGACGTGACAACCACACAGATAGAATGCCTAACGCGGAGTGCCTTCGGTGTTCTTTGTACTGCCAGTCTTGAAGATCAAGACCAAAGGAATTCATTTATTGTTTATTTCTCTATTTATTACTTAGTATTATATGTATTTTATTGAACACAGAGTCTTGACTTGATAGAAGATGTTTCACAAATACTACAATGACAAGATCTTTGCTCTGTACTCAAGTATCTGATCATAACACTTCTCAAGGAATTTCTAGCTAGGCTGCTCTCCAGTTCTCTGTAAGGAAGTACTAGACCATGTAGTAGCTGCTTTGCATTCAGGAATATACAAGGTTATATCTGGTTTTCTGTAAAATTTGAGTTTTGTGGATTATTGCTCTACATCAAGTTTTCCCCTTTGTTGTTGAACGAGCACAGTACTCTGTTATTTTATTTTGATTTGCCAATATTTTCTACTATTGAAAAAATGTACACATGTAATGTATCACTTCTACTGAGCTGATGTGATTTCACATCTGGAAATAGCATGTAAAATAATCAGTTGGTTTAATATGAACTAGAAAAGAAAATAATTTTTTGCTTTCATATAAGAGTGATTAAATCCAAATAGAATTTTGGACAAATAAGGACCCTTTTGTTGTGGAATTCCATTAAGAACAGAGGTGGCAGATGTGGGCTAGCTGAGCCGCTGGAGCACCAACCCTCAGAGCTACCCCTCTATTTTTCATTGGTCCCAGCACTTCGTGAAATGTGCACTTGTCTTGGATTCACGGACATCCTGTGGACCAGCAACAACTGCTCAGCATGCATGATCTGTTCTTCAGGAGATGTGAACACCAGTTTATGAATACCGTACCCCAGAACAGCCTGTTCAAAACCAACCTACCGTGTCTTCAAAATAAAAGGAACAAAGGATATCAAAAAGAAGGTGCATTGGGACAACAGAAACCACCCTCCGACTCTTAACGGCTGTAGTCTTTCCTAAAAGGAAAGTAGGACACAGAGAAAATACAAGACTCTATGAAAATGCTGGATATGTAACGGACACAAAATATTATAGGCGGTTTGCAGACCCTTCACAATAAGTTTGTTAGTTCTAGTCTACTGAGTTTTGCATTGAGTCAGAGGCATGGCATATGACTTTTAATACTCAAAGCAACATGGTATTAAGAAGATAACAGTGCACAATGCTGACTTAAAAGGTATTTCAGTAGGGATAGCAGGCACCTGTGAGCAGATTTCTAAGTGGTATAATTTGTTGTGGCTTTAATGCATTTTAGCTCTGCTGATTTACATATGCCTAGAATCTAGTCTAATGGGAATTTCTTGATGCTCAGTGCTATCATTCTGACACCTGCCAAAATGTCAGTGTGAGAAGGGACCATAAAAATACTATTCCTTGATAGGAAGGGATTTATCTTTAAGGTCAGTCATCTGTGTTAGCCAGTTCTCATCTTACTAGAACTTTTAAATATCTGTTTCACCACCAGGATAAATGGCTGAGCATTAACTACTGCAAGTGAATGCAAGACTATAGGAATTGAGTATAATCATACATTTTATTTCTTAATTTACCATTAGTATAGAACCAATCTTTTATTGAAGAAGACTGTGCCGGCAATTGAGTGCTATATATTTGACATGTAGAAGTAAAATCCGTATTCCAGAGAATGCAGTCCTATGATGATTTTTATCATCATTTAAAAATACCTCCAAATGAAAGCAATTCATTATTATCCTTATTTTATAGCGGAAGAGTGGGATGTTTAGAAAGGTGAATTTTTCAAGAAAGTCAGTGATGGGAAATAAAATCCTGTTAAAATTACAATGATATTTTATGACAAGTGCAATTTTATGTAAGGACAAAATTCCATCCCCTTCAGGGAGGCCAAAAATTTCCTTAGGAGTCTTCCGTACAACCCACATATCTAGTTCAGCACTTCACTCACAAGTATAGGTGTTCTCTGTCTTTTTCCTAGCATGGAGCACATCTTTAAATAATAATCCCATAAATTCTTTAGGACTGCAACCAGTGATTTCATTAAAAACCAGGGTTAGAATCTGAGTTAGCTTGTTAGCTGTAAGAATAGAAGACATTTAGACCACACAACCTCAGGGCTCCATAGCTGACCTCTGATTGATGAGTAGCTGTTTGAGAGAGTCTTTGCTGAAGTTTACTGCTTTGCAGTTGCTTAACAACCTGTGGTTCAGGTATTCTTGAGGATTCCTGAGCAGTTCTTGATCTCTGCTCATGAATGTGTTTTTTTCCTGGTAAAGTGGTTGTTGACTGTGCCACAGGGATAATTTCCATGTACACTAGCTTGTTAACACCCATAGTCACATAAGAAGGATGTACAAATGTTGAGCTGTAGATAGTCCTAAACTTCAGTGTCTGTACAAGGTAAGACCTGGAAAAGGTGAGACAGTTTAGTCAGCATGACTGACAATGAAGGCAATGTACTTTTTACATTTTTCAGATGAGTTTGCCAGTCTTTGCAAAATCTTCACACAATGAGGAAGGCTTTCATGGAAATTTAGAGGGTAGCCTTGGAGGTATATATTTAAAGGACTTCTCCCAGCCATCAAGGCAGCACAGGAGGGATAATGCAAGGTGGCAAATGACTTGCGTGGTATTTATTAATGTTAGCTGCTTGTTTTCAGTCTAGTAAAGGTGACAGTGGGTAGTTCATGAAAAGGGTCTGAATAGTTCTTTGGTCTTGTAAAACAGTATTACTGTCTGCAGATTGATTATCTCATAGATTATGGTTTTATACTTCTCTGAGTAATATCTAACTCTGAATAGCTCCAGTGGTTTCCGTAATAGTGTCCACTGGTTCAAGAGGGCTTTATTCACTGAGAGTAACAGAGTCTGGATTTTCCCAGTTTTATGTTTTTATCCTCAGCAGAATTGTCAAAGAGAAGGCCTCAATTTTCAGAAATAGTATTCACTTTTGAAACAGTGATACTCTGGGAAAAGTAATGATGGGAATGGACATAATAAAAATGTGCCATAGCCAACCACTTTGTTAACAAACAGAACGGTACTATTTCTACAGTAGAATGACAAAATTAGCGAGGACAGTCACACATCAGGGCATAACCAATTGGTGTGTATGGGTTGCATGGTGATACCTGCTGAGTATCTGCAACTGCTTCTCTTGAAAGAGAAGATTTAGCTACTGAAGGGAAGTCTTCAAATTCCAAAGTTGTTTTTTTTTTTTAAACTACGTATATACTTAAGTTATTTAAAAGTTTTATTTTCCTGTTAATTGTTGTTGTTTGTTGTTGTTGCTCATAGAGGAGAACTGATACCAGATCAGGTAGACATGATTCTTAAATGAGTTGCTTTTTATAAGGTTTATAAGGTTTACGCATCACTACTGCTCTGTGTATTTTTTTTTCCCTTTAAAAATGCACTGTTAAGTTGCATACCTAGTCATCAGAAAGGCAGTAAAATCTCTTACCTATGGTTTTGGTATACTTCAGATACCTTACTTATGCAGTACATTTATTAAATGAATTTTCTAATATATTCTGTATACAATGCATCATATGAAGTGTTTTCACTAGAGATTTAGTCAATTTTCAGGTTTTGGTGACTTGATAGTATGTTTGTTATGTTCTAATAAAATGTGGGTTTTTTTGTTATTTAATATGGTCGTGATCAAGTTTGATGTGTTTGAATTTATCTTAGCACTAATCATCATTGGTACTAAATTCATCTTCTAACTAATTGTTGGAAAAACTACTAATTTTTTTTCCAATTATTTTGGGTGTTTTTTTTGTTGTTGTTGTTGTTGTTGGCTGGTTTTCTTGTTTTTCTATGAGTGGATAAATTCTATGAGTGGCTATGATGTAAATTAAAATAAATGACACTGTAATCATTGGGTTATTACATGGAGGGGAGGAGCGAATTTCACCCTGCTGCTCTGAGATTAAGAAAATACGATTACAGGAGGGAGGCTGTTCAGACTGATTTTAATTTGATGCTGATTTCCTTTGGACTTGACAGATATATATTGTTTTGCTTTTATTTTATTTTCATATATTTTTAGTGTATAAGGAACATCATCTGATGTGATCATTTTTTAATAATTCAGAGTAGTACGATATGTAGGTCAGAAGTAGAAAACAAAATCACAAATGTTTGGAAGAACTTTGCAAACAATCTGATTACGGCATAGTTCCAGCCATTTCCTCCAGGACTCTTCATCAGCAGCATTCATGGAATATGTAAACACTTCACCTTAAGTAGGGAGGAAGCGATAATCCCTGGTCAATTGGTCCACAGTCATTGCACTAGAAACAGCTGGTGGTGCATAACGATCATCCTTACTGAGAATTGTAGTAGGCACAGAACACAATGCTTGCCAACTGTTGTGAATATTCCTTTGTTAACATATAAAATAACCATCTTCACTTCTAGTAACATATCTGTGTTTTTAAGCTGTGTCTTTAATTAGAAGAAAAAGAACTTAAAAAGTGAAAAGGGTTGAGGTCAGTAAATGCCCTGGCAACTCAATTTTAAAGGGAGACGTAAAATTATTATTTAAGATGTGGGAGGAAATGGCAAATCAGAAATGATGCAGCGGTACTTGGAAGTGGGAAAGTATGAGAGAGAGGAAAAACCCCTGGTGGTACCTACAGAGCTGGAAGGAAAGAAGGGAAAAGTGAGATAAAATACTATTTACAACAATTAAAATATCTTCTATTACAGAAAATAAAATAATTATTATAAAAACAGATGATTGTTAATTATAACCAAATTATCCAAATAACTGCAAAAGGAGGGGCCCTGTTTATCCAGGCATAGACATCTCATGCCATCTGAGAACATCAGGGCCCTGGGTACTGGAGCGAGGGTTAATGACCCTGGCCAGCCTCACCTGGTCCCCACACCTGGATCCTCTTTCAGCTCAGGCCCTGGTCTTGCCTTATAAATGCTCTCCTTGTGCTTGTTTTTCTTCTTGTCTTCTGCTGGGTAAGCCTTAGGTATAACTCTTGCCTTTGTCAGGTATTCCCTGGGACCTGATGCTGTCAGTGCCTGGCTCTCTGCCTTGCTCAGGTATGTTGGGGCTCTGCCCCGTGGGATGATTATGCTTGTGCTGGGAATGCGCCTGACTCCTTCCTCCTCAACAAGCAGCCCTGTTCTTGCTGCTTACTGGCAGAACTGTTGAGTTTTTGCCTGCCCCATGTGGCTGTCTTAGATTCCTGGAGATTTTTTGCTTTGAGACTGGTAACTGTTGTGACTCAATGCTTACTGTGTCCCTTAGGCAATAATTTGGTCTTTGAACATGCATATTAGTAGAAAGTTTACTTTGTTATTTTGTGTTTATGGCTTTTCGTAGGTGTCCTATTTCCTGTGTGAGTGTTTGTTGTCTTATTGTTGGATCTTTGTTGTGTCTTTTGTTGTTGCATTGTTTTTTTGTTTGATTCAGAACAAACAGAGGAAAACATGATTTCTTCACTGAGATAATAGACAGATGCAAAATGTAGTTAAGGACAATCTCAGCATAAGATACCACTCTGGACTTCAATCACTCAGTTTTCATTTTTAAACACTTAGTGGTCAGGCTTCTATTTTTTGTTTGGGAGATTACACCTACAAGAGTAATATATTGGTGCATTTGTACAAGCCAGTTTGTTTATTTTTAATTTTTTGTCTTCTTCTTCGGAAGTGGAATAAAGCTGAGTTCATAATTCACTTCTGGTTGACACACGTTGTGGGGCATGAATGTGATAGGCAGGGCTTAGATACCTGCAGTTGTATCCTTGCTTCATTCACTGGAACAATTTCTGTAAATGGACTAACGTGAGATAGACATACACCTAGCTTCCCTTGTTGTTGGTACAGTCCTTAGCCTTCTTGCTTCTCTCAGCTTCTTTTGCTAGGGTGTATATATTGTTTGTGTGATGGTGACAGATGGAATTTCTAAAGCATTTTCATGTTTGATGGGGTATGGGAGAGTAGTTATCAGTAAGTATGAGTGCAATTATATGTATACTTTTATCACTTTCTGTGAACTGATAAAATATCTTGGAAGTAATCAATATTTCCCTCTTCCTATAATTACACTTAATAGGTTGCTTTTCTTAGTTGTATGTGGTCCTTGTGAGACTCAAGTGAAAATGTTTATTTTTTTCCAGCAGTAAAGTCCTCTTCAAGTATGCCTTTCTAGCTCAAGTCCATTTCCTGAAGAGGGAGGGGCCAAAAAAGCCTTGTGTTGGTTCTTCTTACTAGTGTCATCTAGCATTTACTGTCCTGGATTTTGTCACCATCTCAAACATAAGTCCAGCCTTTTTGAAAAGTTGTTTGTTTGCAGGCATTCCTTACCCATTCCAGGTAACTGGTATTACACTCATACATTTGTAAGACTTTATATCTGTTCTGTATTCTGTTGGAGGCAAATATCATCATAACTTGGACAAACCTCCACAAATGTTGAGGAAAAAATTACTCACTTCTTAATTACTCACTAGAACAGTGTTATCATTAATTGTTTTCTTTCCTCGTCTATTCCTGCAGTCTTAAAAGACAATACATGTAGTAGCATAGTACTCAAGAATAAATGCATGCTTGTATGTTTTAACTTCCTCTAACGTTTTGTCTTTAAACTCTTTTGTTTCTGTTGCTTTTCTCTGTGCTCTCTCCAGCTTGTCTACACTTTGGAAGTACAATGACCAAAAGATGGGTAAACTGAAGTGTCATGGGAAGCGAAGATAGTAGAACAGCAAGCTAATGTGTTTCATACATGCCATGACCACTTTATAGGTCACAGAATAAGATTTGCTGTCCTGTTTGCAAAAATCTCATGCCACATAAATGATGCAGTCTGTACAACTGACATATTTGCTCTGTACTTTGAGCCAAGTCTTATTAACTATTGATAAGCACTGAACCTAGAGTAGATCTCTTGATGTCAAACTAAGAAATAATATCCATGTATTGCTTATGCTTAATGTTTTTGTTAGATTTTGGACCCTTTTCAGTAGCTGTGTCCACAGTGCCTAAAAACTTCACCTTGATTATTGTATAAAACATTACATAGAACAGTTTGTGACTTCTGTTATCTGCTTAGCCTGTCAAATTGGGAAATTCATTTGGATTAACAATGATTCTTGTCATGTTGTTACTCAAGGCTTTATAAATAGGTTTAGTTTGTTCCAGTATCTTTCTGGATACTGAAATAGGTCTTTCAGACTTAGAACTTTCTGGTACTCCTTGTTTTGTCTTCCACTGGCCTATGAGATACCAATTACACCCAGAGATATGGAAAATAATCGGTAATAACTTGGTGATAGCTACTGAGTATTTGAGGAAGCTCTGGTTACTTAAGTACTTTGAATCTTATTAAATATTGCATAATCTTTCCATAAATAGGTAAATACTGGTTATAAATAAACATTTTTAATTCTATTTCCAGTACTATGAATACTCTAGTACAGGAATATATTATTGAGGAAGCAGAGACTGATTATTATAAAGGTGTAGAAATGCATTAATTTAGAATTTAAGGAGTTACTACTTCAATTAAATCCTGTCAAGGGTTATATGTTAAGATCATATGCAAGAATACTTCTTTTTCAAAAAAAAAAAAAAAAATAAGGTAACTTTAAAAAGATGAAGGAACATACATTTTTTATAGTTATTTTAAGTTCAGTGATAGATACAGAGCTTTGCCTGCCCAGCCTGCTTCTGTAAAGCATGAAGAGATGGACTCTCACTCAAGAAGTACACAAGCAGTGGATTTTTAGAATCATTTTGCACAATTCAGTCTACAAAACATTTAGAGAATGTTGTTCATAATTAACTGAGAATTAAATAACATCTTGCATTTTGTATATAATTTCTTTTACAGAATTAATTTCTGTAGGCTTTTTCCTACACTTGTAATGATTTTAAATCTAAAAGGGTGAGATGCTTAGTTTGAAATTCCAACTAATTAAAGGCATTCTGTATTTTATTGATTTCTTGCCAGAAGAGAATAATTTAAAAGCAAGCAAGATTACACTGGAGGAAGCAATAGCCCTTAGCATATTTGATAGTGTATTTGAGTGCATGGGTAGAAGTTTTATATGATTTTGCTAATGCATTATGCTACTACATTGCTACCAAATTTAAAAGTAACATGAACAAAATGTAGTTTGAAAACACACACAAAAAAAAAAGCTCATACAAAGGATCTCTAGTTTGTTGTTTATTCTTCTCAATCTGACATCTTTAAACACATGATGATAATCTTAAAGTTTGCAGGCTATCTCAAACTGCAAGTCACGTTTTAGGCGGAAATGTTGATTATAATGAAAGTGATTCTCAAGGTGATTTAAATTGTTTCCTTTGGAAGGTTTTTCTCGCTCTCTCCTCTGTCTTGTTAATTACTGTGTGCTAGCAGAAATCTCTTCTATAGCTGTGTAATAGAAGACGTATAATGATAATCTTGTTTAGGCAATAGTGGAATCTCCTTTATCATATATTTATGTATACTTTGAAAATATGCTTCATGTGGCCAAAGTGCCTGTTCTTACAGTGAATCTACTGTAGGTCAGCCCCAGGTTCTTTGTAAACTGAACCTGTCAGGGACTTCTGTGAGATGATGCTAATTCTGGCATCTGATAAAATGTAAATGCAAAAGGAGGTCATGCACTTCATGCATCTGCCTTAATTGCAGCTAGAAAACTCATGCTCTACAAACTGCATTGAAGTTTAGGTGAAGTAAGCTAAGCTTAGAATGTGGGACTCAAGGATTGTATGCCATAGATCTCTGAAGTGATACCAACATTTCTGTATATTTCGTATCAATTACTTGTGAGACTCTTATTCCAGCCTAAGGAGAAAGTGATCATTTATCACCAGTGAGGCTTCCTAAAGTTACTTCAGGTAGGGCTGAGACCAAGGTGAGAGATTATATTATAACAGAATTGTTTTAATTTCTTCATCATGGAAAGACTGAAGATCTTCAGATCTGGAGAGTCTTTTTTGGTTTAAGCTTGTACCAGTCTGAGAAGTGCTACAGTCTGCACCTGAAACTCATTGTCCTAACTTGAACCCTAGCTCATTTGGACCAGATAGTCCAATATTAGATCAACTATTTCCTATATTTGACTGTTTGAGGTGGATACTTCGTGGAATATTTGAATTTGTTCTTTGAATTTTGTGCGATATTTGACAACTTTTTGAACAAAAAAGAATTTTTGGTTCCAAAAATAAAATATGAATGAAATTGGCATCCTGTGCAATCTAACTGTATTTACAAGTTTTTCATATAGAATTTTTTACATAGCTTCCAAGCCTTTTGTTTCTCTGTGCTAAGCACTGGGAGTTTCAAAGCCTTTGTATGGATGTACTTAAGTTTTATAACTTAAGCCACTATAAGGGAATCCACTGGAGTGCCCTGTATCAATCTGTGCTGTGCGCTGGTGGATTTTAAAACAGAAAGCTTCCTAACTAATCAGAAGATGATCTATGGTTTGGTTTTGTTATGCGTGTATATGTACTGCTGCATGGGAGAGAAGTGTCCTTTCCGTGGACAGAATCTGGGCAGTGTCCTGTGGGTAAGTACACTCAGGATCCATCTGAAGCTGCACAAAAGTGGAGTTCCCGGCCTCTGAAGGGACGAAGGATACACTCAGTATCTATATTCCTCATTTTATTCTATCTCATCAAAAAAAAAAAAAAAGCATTGTATTTTGCCATTTGTTTTTTGTCCTTTCTTACTAAGATCCAGAAAGAAGCCTGCTCAGTCTCTCTTGCCTTCTTCTCCATCCCTGAGGTAGATTGTTTGTCCCTAGTTGAAAAGGGACCAAAGTGCAATATGGTTACAGTTTGTTATCAGGTTTGTCAGACTTACCATGCAGCATTCCTGCTTGGTAGTGCAGCTGCCTCATGTTGATATGGGCTGGCAGTGTTATGTATGGATCAGTCCAGGCTGACCCAGGGAAGAAGGGACCTACTGCCTGCCTTGGGTTGTGAAATACTGTTTATTTCTCTCCAGCTTCAGCCATATCCAGCCCTTCAGCGAAGCAGTAGACAACCTGGGGAGTTTCTGTCTGCTCGTGCCTGTGGAG